TAGCCCTGCAATGGACTAGCATCCCATCCAGCGGGGGTAAAAATACACCTAGTCGCTTCATGTTACAGAAACCGGGATAAGCTCTGGCCTAGTGGGCCCCTTGGCTCACATGCAGACTTTACCTTTTACTTTTATCAGTACATTGATATGGGTCACAAATTGGTTGTCATCAATTAATAGTTGATTACTCATTGATCATCCACACTACTCAATGACTAATCAGTTAATTTTTTTCATGAACCTCACAGAGTATTACTTTGATGTCACTGATCATCAACTAATTTTTTAAGTCTGGAAAGAAGGAAATACCAAAGTGCCCTGCGTTTTTGCCTGACGTTTTGGATCATCTGTACCAAAGGCATCCGTGGTCGAGTGTTGATCGATACCCTTGATTTATACCCTTGATCGACCTTTGATTGATACTCAATCAACACTACACTGACACCTTGGTTGACACTCGATCAATCTTCCATTGACATCTCAGTTGACAATGGACTAATTTTCGATCAAGGGTTGATAGAGTGTTGCCGAATATCGATCGGGATGTCGATTGAGTATTGATCAAGATGTTGATCGAGGATATCGATCGAAAGTTTTGATCGACACTTGACCTTAGATGCCTTTAGTACACATGATCCAATACTTCTTTATCTAATCTGAAAAAAGCCAGCTGTCTTCTGACTGGCCTTTAGTCCAATCCTGTGTTCAAAAGATAGATAGGAGAGGCCAGGGGGAAGGGGCAATCCCTTATTTGTGCTGCTGGATAAAATTAGGGTGGGTATATAATTTTACTTGCCTTTGTTCCAAACAGGGTATGGTCACATGATCAGTCTGGGATCTTAGATTTCTCTACGGATGTTATGACAGCATTTTGCTGCATTAAGTAACTCAATGGCCTTTTGTATAACTGATTTTAGAGCTATCAAACACAATTTCGCTGATTGCAATGGCCTATTAGACAGTTTAAATTCCAGTAAAACAAGAGAGCGTGTATTTTGTCTCTTTCCCTAAATGGGGTCTTAAAATAAAGGTAGGGTTTTTAGAACATTTTGGCCTACACAAGGTCGGAATTTCAAACCGTTGGCAGCACCCCTACACCCAAACATGGGCGAAGTGCACCCCGGGCAGGTTGTTCACTCACAATGACAGAGAGGGACGAATCAGGCTAAGATGAGGGGACAGTAGACCTTTTTACTTTGGGCAGTCTATGTTTTACCATTTTATACAGACCAAGTGATATTCTCTTGAGGATTGTTCTTTTATGAATGATGAATGAATAGCTNCCTTTTACTTTTATCAGTACATTGATATGGGTCACAAATTGGTTGTCATCAATTAATAGTTGATTACTCATTGATCATCCACACTACTCAATGACTAATCAGTTAATTTTTTTCATGAACCTCACAGAGTATTACTTTGATGTCACTGATCATCAACTAATTTTTTAAGTCTGGAAAGAAGGAAATACCAAAGTGCCCTGCGTTTTTGCCTGACGTTTCGGATCATCTGTACCAAAGGCATCCATGGTCGAGTGTTGATCGATACCCTTGATCGATACCCTCGATCGACTTTTGATTGATACTCAATCAACACTACATTGACACCTTGGTTGACACTCGATCAACCTTCCATTGACATCTCAGTTGACAATGGACTAATTTTCGATCAAGTGTTGATAGAGTGTTGCTGAATATCGATCGGGATGTCGATTGAGTATTGATCGAGATGTTGATCGAGGGTATCGATCGAAAGTTGTGATCGACACTTGACCGTAGATGCCTTTAGTACACATGATCCAATACTTCTTTATCCAATCTGAAAAAAGCCAGCTGTCTTCTGACTGGCCTTTAGTCCAATCCTGTGTTCAAAAGATAGATAGGAGAGGCCAGGGGGAAGGGGCAATCCCTTATTTGTGCTGCTGGATAAAATTAGGGTGGGTATATAATTTTACTTGCCTTTGTTCCAAACAGGGTATGGTCACATGATCAGTCTGGGATCTTAGATTTCTCTACGGATGTTATGACAGCATTTTGCTGCATTAAGTAACTCAATGGCCTTTTGTATAACTGATTTTAGAGCTATCAAACACAATTTCGCTGATTGCAATGGCCTATTAGACAGTTTAAATTCCAGTAAAACAAGAGAGCGTGTATTTTGTCTCTTTCCCTAAATGGGGTCTTAAAATAAAGGTAGGGTTTTTAGAACATTTTGGCCTACACAAGGTCGGAATTTCAAACCGTTGGCAGCACCCCTACACCCAAACATGGGCGAAGTGCACCCCGGGCAGGTTGTTCACTCACAATGACAGAGAGGGACGAATCAGGCTAAGATGAGGGGACAGTAGACCTTTTTACTTTGGGCAGTCTATGTTTTACCATTTTATACAGACCA